GAAGCATAATTTACACACAATGAAATGCAATCATTTTGTGTGCATTTTTGTTTTGACAAATCAATATATCAAGCAATCATCACAACAGTCAAAATAGATCGTTTTTAGAAACAATGAATTCCCTACCAGTTCCACTGTGCCTGTACCCAGCCAATACCCTACCTCCACCTCAGGCAAACAATGATTTACTTTCTTCTTTTCTTTTTCTTTTTTTTCGTGGATACCTCTAATACCATAAAAAATGATTTGTTATCATTATAGATCAGATTGGTCTTTTCTAGAGTTTCATGAAAATGGAGTCATACAGTGTGTAGACACTTCTTGACTTAGGATGGGGCTACATCTCAATAAACGTCTTTTTTAAGTTTTATTTTTTTGTAGAGATGGGTCTCCCTATGTTGCGCAGGCTGATCTCAAACTTTTGGGTGTAAGTGATCCTCCTGCCTTGGCCTCCTAAAGTGCTGGATTACAGGCATGAATCCACTGTGCCCACCCCCAATAAATCTTGTGTAAATCAAAATATTGTAAGCTGAAAATGCATGTAATACACTAATAAATTTATTGTAAAGTCAAAAAATCTTAAGTCAAACCATCCTAAGGCAGGTACCATCTGTATATTTTGTATCTGGCTTCTTTTGCTTGACTTGATTTTGAGATTCATCTATGTTATTCTATTGGTGGTTAATACTTTTTATTGCTAAACAGTATTCCATCACGTGAACCCACCACATTTTGTTCATCCATTTATCTGGTTATGCAGAGGCCCCCAATCCCTGGGTCACAAACCATTAGTGGCCTGTGGCCTGTTAGGAACTTGGCCACACAGCAGATGAATGGCGGGCAGGCAAGTGAAGCTTCATTTGTATTTACAGCAACTCCCATCGTTCATTCACATTACTGCCTGAACTCCTGTCAGACCAGCAGCAGTGTTAGATTCTCATAGGAGCCTGAACCTCATCGTGAACTGCACGCTTAAGGGATCTAGGTTGTGTGCTCCTTATGAGAAGCTAATGCCTGATGATTTGTCCCTGCCTCCCATCAACCCTAGATAGGACCATCTAGTTACAGGAAAACAAGCTCAGGGCTCCCACCGATTCTACATTATGGTGAGTTGTATAATTATTTCATTATATATTATAATGTAATAATAATAAAATGCACAATAAATGTAATGTGCTTGAATCATCCAGAAACCATGCCCTACTGCCATCTGTGGAAAAACAGTCTCCCATGAAACCAGTCCCTGCTGCCAAAAAGGTTGGGGACCACTGTGTTTACAGACACTTGGTTTGTTTCCACTTTCTGTCTATTATGAACAAAAATAATATGAGCATTTGTGTCCATATCTTTGAATGGACATATATTTTCATCTCTCTTGGGTAGATACCTAGGAGAGGAACTGTATGGTAAGTTTATCTTTCCCTTCTCTTCATTTCCAGCTGTTTTGTGCCATTCCATTCTAGGTATGTCTTGTAAATAACATACAGCCACAAGATTAAAAAAAATCCAATCTGAGCATCTGTCTTTTAATAAGGCTATTTAACCCAGTCACATTCATCATGACTACTGCATGTCTAGTCTTATACCTACCATGTTACTGCGTGTTTTGTATTTACCATTGCTACTTCTTCCTTCTCTTCTGCATTTCTTTTTTCTTTCAGTTTTTAAAAAATTTACACATAGTGGCCGGGTGCGGTGGCTCACACCTGTAATCCCAGCACTTTGGAAGACCGAGGCGGGCGGATCACGAGGTAAGGAGATTGAGATCCTCCTGGTTAACATGGTGAAACCGTCTCTACTAAAAAAAATACAAAAGGCTGGGCATGGTGGCTCACGCCTGTAATCCCAGCACTTTGGGAGGCCAAGGTGGGTGGATCATCTGAGGTCAGGAGTTTGAGACCAGCCTGACCAAAATGAAGAAACCACATCTCTAAAAAAAAAAAAATTAAAAAACCCACAAAAAAACAAAAAATTAGCTGGGTGTGGTGGCAGGTGCCTGTAGTCCCAGCTACCTGGGAGGCTGAGGCAGGAGAATCACTTGAACCCAGGAGGCGGAGGTTGGAGTGAGCCAAGATTGCACCACTGCACTCCAGCATGGTGACAGAGAGAGACTCCATCTCAAAATAGAAATAAATTTTAAAAATTTACACATAGTGAAACATACAGTTCACCAATGGTGCAATTCCATACATTTTGACAAATTCTGCTTTTTAAAAAATTAATTGAATTTCTCTTTTCTGTTTTCTCTCTGGGTTTAGGAGACATACATTCCATATTAATTATGATTACATTTGGCTATATAAAGTAAAACCCAGATAGGCACTTCCAATGTGTTAGTGAATATGGTCTCCCAATTTTAAAGCCTATGTTTAAAGCTTTTAACAGTTTTCCCACAGAAAAAAAGCATAACTCTTCAGTGAAAGCTCTGGTTACAACTATTTGGCTTGTCTTTGATATCCAGGTTTGAAATAATCACAATGGCAATGGGATTAAGGATATTATAATTGGCCTAGCCAGGATGATTCCACCCATATTACGGGGGGGCGGGGGCGGTGGGAGAAGTGAGTCACGATCCAGTTGTAGAATATTGATTTTTTTTTGGGGGGGGGGACGGTGTCTCATTCTGTAGCCCAAGCTGGAGTGCAGTGGCGCAATCTTGGCTCACTGTAACCTCCACCTCCTGGACTCAAGTAATTCTCATGCCTCAGCCTCCTGAGTAGCTGGGACTACAGGTTCTTACCACCATGCCTGGCTAATTTTTTAAAAATTTTAGTAGAGACAGGGTTTCATGATGTTGCCCAGGGTGGTCTCGAACTCTTGAGCTCAGGCGATCCACCTGCCTCAGCCTCCCAAAGTGCTGGGATTACAGGCATGAGCCACTGTGCTCAGACTGATATTGATTTATCTAAGGAATTCTGTACCAGTGAAGAGAGGGAAGGGAAAGCATTATCTTCATACCTTCTTCTATCCATTTATATATATACTGCATATTTCTAAATAATTATATATTTTTGTGATATTAAAACTTAAAACTGATATCACACTGTACCTAACTGTTCTACAATTTACTTTCTCTTAATAATAGGTCATACAGTTATTTCCATTTAAGTAATATAGCTCAACCTTATTTATATTAGTTGAGGTAAAAGACACATAACAGAACATTTACCATGTTAGCTATTTTATTTTATTTATTTATTTAGAGATGGAGTTCTGCTCCATCACCAGGCTGGAGTGCAGTGGCACGATCTTGGCTCACTGCAACCTCTGCCTCCTGGGTTCAAGTGATTCTCCTGTCTCAGCCTCCCAAGTAGCTAGGATTACAGACACACACCACCATGCCCAGCTAATTTTTTGTATTTTTAATAGAGACAGGGTTTTGCCATGTTGACCAGCCTGGTTTTGAACTCCTGACTTCAGGTGATCCACTGGCCTCAGCCTCCCAAAGTGCTGGGATTGCAGGCATAAGCCACTATGCCAGACCATCTTAACCATTTTAAAGCATACAGTTCAGTGGCTTTAGTACATTCATACTGTTGTACAAATAATCTCTGGAACTCTTTTCATCTTGCAAAACAGAAACTTCATACCCTTTAAACAATTCTGTATTCCCCACTCCCCACAGCCCCTGGCAATCACCACACTACTTTCCATCTCTGTGAATTTCACTACTATTTAGATACCTCATATAAGTGGAATCATACAGTATTTGTCTTTTTGTGACTGACTTATTTAAGATAATGTCTTCAAGGTTCATCGATGTTACAGCATGTGTCAGAATTTCTTTCCTTTGTAAGGCCGAATCACATTCCATTGTATGTACAGAGCACATTTTGTTGATCTATTCATCTGTTGATGGACACTCAGGTTGCTTCCACCTCTTGGCTATTGTAAATAATGTCACGACGGACATGGGTGTACAAATACTCTCCCTGTCTCTTTTTTTTTTTCGGGTGGAGTTTCACTCTTGTTGCCCAGACTGGAGTGCAATGGTACAAACTCGGCTCACTGCAACCTTCGCCTCCCACTATACCATTTTACATTTCCACTAAAATGCATAAGCCTTCTCTGATTTGCTTCTTTCTTTTTTTTTAGAGACAGTGTCTTGCTCTGTTGCCCAGGCTGTAGTGCAACAGCACAATCATAGCTCACTGCAGCCTTGAATTCCTGGGCTCAGGCCTCTCACTTCAGCCTCCAGAGTAGCTGAAACTATGGGCATATGCAGTGCACAGCTAAGGGTTATACTTTCTACATATCCTCACAAACACTTTTCAATTACCATTGCTTCTTTCTTTTAATAGTGGCTAAGGGCTGTGAGGTAGTATCTCATTGTGGTTTTAATTTGCATTTCTCTAATGATTAGTGATACTGACCATCTTTTCTTATGTTTCTTGGCCATTTGTATATCTTCTTTGGAGAAATGTTTAAATCCTTTGTCCATTCTTAAATCTACCTCATTTTTTTGTAGATGTTCATGACATTCCATAGTTAACTGCCCCCTGCTGGTTTTTTTTTTTTTGAGACGGAGTCTCCCTCTGTCACCAGGCTGGAGTGCAGTGGTGCGATCTCAGCTCACCACCACCTCTGTCTCCTGGGTTCAAGCAATTCTTGTGCCTCAGCCTCCTGAGTTGCTGGGACTACAGGTGTGCATCAACATGCCCAGCTAATTTTTTTGTATTTTAGTAGAGTTGAGTTTTTACCATGTTGCCCAGGGTGGTCTTGAACTCCTGAGCTCAGGCAATCCACCAACCTCAGTCTTCCAAAGTGCTAGGATTATAGGCGTGAGCCACCGTGCTTAGCTACAGTTAAGATACTTTTGATAGACATTTGTTTAATTTTTTTCTCTCTTGCAAACAGCAGTGCAGTAAACATCCTTTTACCTGCTTCCTTGTACACATGTAAGTGTTTCTTCACATATATACCACATTGTCCATGCAGAGGCAATTTAAAGTAAATCACCTGTATGATACCTATTAAGTAACCAAAAAATAGAATTGGGCTCACAAGATATCCACAATTTTTATTTTAGTGTATCCTGACAACAGCTGTAAAAAGTGGTCATAAATGTTTGCACTTCTGTCAGCATGACATTAGTACTCATTTCTCCAAACCCTCGTTATATGTGTTGGAAAAATCTGATCAGTCACTTGCTTTTTAGGGAAGGGGAATGTCTTGCACAGAAGTCTATAATTTTAATATATTGAAACTTGTCAATCTTTTTAGATTCTGCTGAAGAATTCTATCCAAAGGTGATGGACACATTTTTCTTTACATTTATTTTCCTAATGCTTCCATAGCTTAGAAATAAGTTTAGGCTGGGTGCTGTGGCTCATGCCTATAATCCCAACACTTTAGAAGGCCAAGGTGGGCAACATGGCAAAACCCCATCTCTATAAGAAATACAAAATTCCCAGCTACTTGGGAGGCTGGAGTGGATCACCTGGGTCTGGGAAGGTCAAGAATGCAGTGAGCCATGATTGTGCCAATGCACTGCAGCCTGGGTTACAGAGTGACTGTCTCAAAAAAAAAAAAAAATTAGGCCTTTGATCCACTTGAAATATTCTTATGATTCATGTTAAGTGGGAATCTAATTTTTTTCTTTTTTTTTGAGACAGAGTTTCACTCTTGTTGCCCAGGATAGAGTGCAATTGCGCCATCTCAGCTCACTGCAACTTCTGCTTCCTGGGTTCAAGAGAATTCTCCTGCCTCAGTCTCCTGAGTAGATGGGATTACAGGTACATGCCACCATACCCGGCTAATTTTTTTTTTGTATTTTTAGTAGAGACAGGGTTTCTCCACGTTGGTCAGGCTGGTCTTGAACTCCTGACCTCAGGTGATCCGCCCACCTTGGCCTCCCAAAGTTCTGGGATTACAGGTGTGAACCATTGTGCCCAGCCAATTTTTTTTTTTTTTTTTTCCCAAATGGATAGCCATGATGCCATTGTGTAATAATCACTAACATTTACTGAACAACACTTACTTGGGTCAGGTATTATTCAATTTAATCTCACTTTATCAGGTTTGCTTTGAGGATTAAACATTTTAAAGAAGAAACAAGGAAGGCAACAAATGGTTATGTGGTTTGTCCAATTCATACATATATTAACTGGTGGAATTAGTATTCTAACCCTAACAGAATGATTCCAGACTACTGGGCCTTTTAATACAATTTCTTTTTCCCACAGAAATGAAATATCACCTTAATAATATACCAAATTCCCACAAATATCTAGTTGCTTTTTTTTTGTTGTTTGTTTTTGAGACAGTCTCATTGTATTGCCTACGCTGGAGTGCAGTGGTGTGATCTTGGCTCACTGCAACCTCTGCCTCCCTGGTTAACGTGATTCTCCTCCTTCAGCCTCCCGAGTAGCTGGGATTACAGGTGTGCACCACCACACCAGGCTAATTTTTGTATTTTTAGTAGAGATGGGTTTTCACCATGTTTGGCCAGGCTGGTCACAAACTCCTGACCTCAAATGATCTGCCCCCCTTGGCCTCCCAAAGTGCTGGGATTATACATAGGTTTGCTAATGGATTTTCTATGGAGTTTTAATGGTCTATTTATTCTTACACTACCTATGATCATTTAAAAAATCTTATCTGGGCTGAACACAGTGGCTCATGCCTGCAATCCCAACATTTTGGGAGGCCGAGGTGGGAGGATAGCTTGAGCCCAGGAATTTGAGACCAGCCTGGGCAACATAGTGTGAAATCCTATCTCTACAAAAAAAGAATTAGCTGGGAGTAGTGGCACATGACTGTAGTTCCAGCTACTCTGAAAAGGCTGAGGCAGGATGACTTGAGCCCAGGAGATTGAGGCTGCAGTGAGCTGTGATTGCACCACTGTACTCCAACCTGGGCAACAGAGAAGGATCCTGTCCCATTAAAAACAAACCACAAAACCCCCTTAATCTGATCATGTTATCCACCCTGCTTGAAATTTTAATAGCACCTTATTTTGAGATGGAGTTTTGCTCGTTGCCCAGGCTGGAGTACAATGGTGCAGTCTCGGCTCACTGCAACCACCACCTTCCAGGTCCAAGTGATTCTCCTGCCTCAGCCTCCCAAGTAGCTGGGATTACAGGTGCCTGCCACCACACCCAGCTAATTTTTTTATTTTCAGTATAGATGAGATTTCACCATGTTGGCCAGGCTGGTCTCAAACTCCTGACTTCAGGTGATCCACCCGCCTTGGCCTCCCAAAATGCAGGGAATACAGGGATGAGCCACTGTGCCTAGCCAATAGCACCCAAGTGACCTAAGGATGAAGTCCAGACCCTTTGGCATATCATGTAAGACCCCTCTCCCTCTGTCTCCTTCCTCAGGAGTCTCATGTGGGTACAGGCCCCTTCCATGACATGATTTCCTATATTCTAGTCATAAAAATCTCCTGGCAGCTATCTGAACAGGCCAAGCACATTCACTCCATGTAACATTGTGCGTCCTTGCCTTTGTTCCTACTGTTTCCTATGCTTCATCTTCTCTGCCTAATTTATTGGGCAAGTACCCATTCAATTTTAAGATTAGCTCAAACCTTATGTATGACCTCTGGTCTTTCCTGCCTCCCCATCCCAACCAGTAGAAAAAAATCATTCTTTCTACCTTTATGTGCCTATGATGTGCCTCTGATACTTTTACCCTAGCACTGCTATTTTACTGTATTTATAAACTTACATGTTTTTCTCTCCCACCATAATGTGTCTTGAGGGCAGGGCCATATCTTATTAAGCACCTAGTATACATTTAATAAATGTTTATTAAGTCAGTATAAAACAATGGCCATCAAATTATGTGAGCAATCATCAGAGTATCTGATTTCTAAAGAGATGCAATGACTTTCTTATAACAAATTTATAATTGTATAAATTTATGGGTTACAAAGTAATATCATAAATTGCAGACATGATATGAAATAATTAAATCAAGCTAGTTAACGTATCCAATACCTCAAGTATATTTCTGTGATGAGAACATCAATTTTAAAATGTATAATATTCTATTATTATGTATATGCACTAAACTGTACAACAGAACTCAAAAAAAGTATAAAACATATTCTTCCTGTCTGAGATTTTGTATCCTTTGACAATCATTAATTTTTCTTTCTTTCTTTCTTTTTTTTTATTTTTGAGACAGTCTTACTCTTGTCACCCAGACTGGAATGCAGTGGCACAATCTTGGCTCACTGCACCCTCCACCTCCTGGATTCAAGCGATTCTCCCACGTCCACCTCCCTAGTAGCTGGGATTACAGACATGTGACACCACACCCGGCTACTTATTTTTTGCATTTTCAGTAGAGATGGGGGTTTTGCCATGTTGTCCAGCCTGGTCTTGAATTCCTGACCTCAGGTGATCCACCCACCTCGGCCTCCCAAAGTGCTGGGATTACAGGCATGAGCCACCATGCCTGGCCTAAAATTTTTACGAGACAAAATACCATTTCAAAACAACATCAAAAAGTGAGAAGGCCAGGAGCGGTGGCTCACGCCTCTAATCCTAGCACTTTGGGAGGCCAAAGTGTATTTTTCTATACTAAAAATACAAAAGTTAGCTGGGCATGGTGGCGGATGCCTGTAATCCCAGCTATTCAGTGGGCTGAGGTAGGATAATTGATTGAACCCAGGACATAGAGGTTGCAGGGAGCCAAGATCATGCCATTGCACTCCAGCCTGGGTGACAGAGTGAGACTCCATCCTGAGGAAAAAAAGAAAGTATTTGTCTCTACTAAAAATACAAAAAAAAAAAAAATTAGCTGGTCATGGTGGCAAGTGCCTGTAATCCCAGCTATTCAGGAGGCTGAGGCAGCGATTCTGAGGAGAATTGCTTGAACCTGGGAAGCAGGGGTTGCAGTGAGCCAAGATTGCACCATTGCACTCTAGCCTGGGCAACAAGAGCAAAACTTCATCTCAAAAAAAAAAAAAAAAAAAAAAAAAAAAAGAGTGAGTATATTTAACCATCCTCAGCTCACAATAGAGCAAATAGGTCAACAGAATAATAATTCATGCTATTGCATGTATAATGGACTGGCAACAAGAGAAAGCTCATCAAAGAAAAGCAGAGAGGGACTGTGTCTTGTAAGAATTAGAATCGAGGGGCTCCATAATCATCTGGCATCCGTTCAATGTTGTACCTGATCAGGACAAAAAATTAACACTGGTTAAGAAAGGTGAGTAGAGAACCCATCTAGAAACCCATCTTTTACATAGTGCACTCACCCCCACTGTGAATCCTTTTTGTCAGTGGGAATATTTTAGGGGAACATCATAATGAATAATTTACAACAAAATTCTGACAATAATACAATATTATTGTTATTTTTCAAAGTGGCAAAGTCAGCAAGAGGGGAACCAAGGATCTGAGATCAGCTAAGCCCAACTCCTTAGTCCACAGATTTCCTACCACACTGTGCTCTCCCCAAGCTGAAAAGCTGCAAAAGAAGTCTTGAGGACTGACATAAAAATAGCCAAGAAGGATAATTAATAGCTTTTTTTTTTTAAATAAGCTTTCCATTTCTCAGATGAGGTGTTAATTTGAAAAGAAAAACTTTCAAAACAGGTATTTCTGGCCAAAAAAATTAGCTTGACCTAAATTACTGCTTTTATTTAAAGCAATACATCAATTTCTTCTAGTAATTTTATTCTAACAACTTAAATGTCTGCCTCATTCCTAAATCCTGTCTCTCTCTTTTGCCCTTGTTCTTGCTTTGTCTTATTTCTTCAAACATGACTATGTGAACATTTGATGCAATAATTTCCTTCAAATTCTTTGTAACCTTATCACTTGTCCTCATTTTTAATTGACATCAATTATGTATTTCTAATCCCTTCCCCAAGAGAAATTTCTCACCTATGGTTAGAAATGTACATGATAGGAACTCCAGGAATCTTACGAATTCTTCTTTTAAGGTCCCGGTCAACTGTGGCCACAATGTAACACTTATGCTGTAAGAGACATGGAGTGATGTTCACGGTGAAGTCACTTAGTCACTGAGCACGATTAGTGACTACTGGATAAAGGCACAACCACTGACTAGTCTGAGGATTGTTCATTTTCACAGTGAGTAGTGGAGGGCAGGCTATAACAATCTGTTGAGTAGCTACTATGATCTAGGAGCTCTTAATCTTGTTATATAAAATAAACAACAAGTGGCCTGGGCTGAAAGCAGCATTAAGAATCTTGAGGGAAAGAAGGTAGAAAACTATTTACAAGCTGCAAACTGTTCTTTCCTCATAAATGAAAGGGACTTTCAAACTTAGGGCAGACAATTCTTTAGTTTTGGGAAAATGCTCCGAGGACCTCCATGAAATACAAAGTGCCTTAGTCTGGAGGGCACAGCTCCCTCCTTTCCTTGAATCTTGGGGCTTAGGTGTGCTCTGAGGCCTACTGGTGTTAGAGGTAGGTTATCCCTGAAACAGGAAGCCTAAATAAGATCTTCAGGGCCTGAAACTAGAGCCTAGCAGTTACAAAAGCAGCAACATTTAGCTGTCAGTTGAAAGCTATTTTGTATGAAGCTTCAATTCCATCATGTCTGACTCTCCTACTGAGTTTTATAAAAAGGGGCAGAGTGGTGTCAGCTGTGCTGTGGGAAATTAAGAGAAATCCTGGCCCCACCTATGGGTGAAGTGGCTAAAGGGATGGCTCTGTGGTCACCAGATGAAGATTATCCTCAGTAGAGAAAGGCTCTTATAAAAGCACTCAATAGCAAGAAATCCTTGTGGTGCTTAATGAAGGAATTAAAAATCTACTTATTTTAGGGTATGTGTGAGATAGCACCTCGGGAGACTTTCAGATATAACTAAGAAGCACTTTTGGATTAGGCATCGTGACAAGGAAGAAAATTCCTACATCAAAAGTAAATGGGCTCTACATTAACTCACTTAAAACCATTTACAATTTATGAAATAAAGAATCAGTTAAGTGTCCCAAATCACAGAGCCAGTAAATGCAGGTGCTGAGACATGAAACCCATGTCTCCTCCCCAAGTCTGTGCTCTTTCCATTATGGTTAGAGCATACATTTTCAGTCCAGTCCACTTTCTCAAGTAAATGAAGACACATACGCTTCTTATGAGGGAATGCTATGTAATTTTTTTTTTTTTTTATGAGACGGAGTCTCCTCTGTTGCCAGACTGGAGTGCAGTGGTGCTATCTCAGCTCATTGCAACCTCCACCTGCCGTGTTCAAGCCATTCTCCTGCCTCAGCCTCCCGAGTAGCTGGGACTACAGGCGCGCACCACCATGCCCAGCTAATATTTGTAGTTTTAGTAGAGATGGGGTTTCACCTTGTTGACCAGGATGGTCTCAATCTCTTGACCGCGTGATCCACCTGCCTCAGCCTCCCAAAGTGCTGGGATTATAGGCGTGAGCCACCGCGCCCGGCTTAGTTTATTTTTTTAAAGCACAAAGTAAACATGTATGAACTGATAATACCTGAGTTACTCTCTGTACTAAGCAGTCATCTGCGTAGGTTCCTTTGTGTGTACACGGTAATCGTTCAAATCTTGGATCCTTGGCAATCCTGTAGGTGGATTAAAGGAAATTATCAACTGGGTAACTTTCTGAGTCTTAGTGCAATAAAAGTAACATGATCTATGCAGATATTTTAAGGCACTGCTCTCCTCCTGAAGTTTATCCTCTAATTGGAAAGACAACTCACAGGGCAGGGAATGAAGGCTTACTGCCTGACAGCTGGTGTGCTTGGGTCATTTAATCATCACGAAACTCTGAGTTATTATATAGCTATTCTACAGCTGAGGAAGCAGGCTCAGAGATTAATTTGTTCAAAGCTATATAGCCGGGAAAAGCCAGGATTCAAAAACAAAACCCATTTTAACCTAACCACTTCACTTTAAGAAGCTGTCTTACACACAAATGTCCAAGAATATAGGCAAAAGGATGGTCACTCAGCTGTTTATAGTGAAGAAAATCTAAATATCCTTTAGAAAGGTAAAAATTACATTTTGGTGCCCTTATCCTATTAAAAAACAAGTGAGGTAGAGCTGTACATACCAATGTGGAAGGGCCTATGCTAAACTGCTGAATAAACAAAGCAGGACATATATATGTTTATAATATACACACACATATATAATTAATAAAATACAAATCCTTCTAATATTCTTTATCTAGATTTGCATTTGTACAGAAAAAGGTCTGGAAAAATATATTAACCTTTCCCAGTTGTCACTCTTGGGGTATGAGAATGGACAAATTATGAATGTAGAGGAAGACTTTTACCTTTTATTATATGTATATGCTTATATTGTTTGCCATAAAACATTCAAACACACATTATTTTCATACATATTTGAAAAAGAAAAACTCTAACTCTGTGTGATTCTAAGAGCCATGCTCTTTTTTTTTTTTTTTTTTTTTGAGACAGAGTTTCGCTCTTGCTACCCAGGCTGGAGTGCAATGGCATGATCTCGGCTCACCGCAATCTCCGCCTCCTGGGTTCAGGCAATTCTCCTGCCTCAGCCTCCCGAGCAGCTGGGATTACAGGTACGCACCACCGTGCCCAGCTAATTTTTTGTAATTTTAGTAGAGACGGGGTTTCACCATGTTGACCAAGATGGTCTCGATCTGTTGACCTCGTGATCCACCCGCCTCGGCCTCCCAAAGTGCTGGGATTACAGGCTTGAGCCACCGCGTCTGGCCAGAGCCATGCTCTTTCTATGAACAATGATGAGTCACTGAAATGAATAAAAATACAAGATAGCACATAGGTACCTAGTGCAATAGAAATACTCCTCCACATTGCAATAGTTCAGTGCTAGGTCCATGTGGGTCAGGAATATTTAGAAAACAATGACATAGGGGTGAAATAAGTAAAGAATGTGCCAAGCAATGTAAAAGGGTTTCTTAGTGGCTGGGAAAGAGTGAACACATCTTTCTAGCTGGGGAAGAGTGTTTGTGGAGAGAAGAATGAAATGGGGCTAGAGTCTCCAATGCCAGCCTGAGGAGTGTGATGATACAGGAAAATGAGTTATTAAAGATTTCTGGGTGACAAAGTGATAAGAACCAAGTTCTGTCTTGGAAAAACTAAGCAGCCTGTGCTGGGGAGGATACACTAGAGGGAAGACGGACTGGTTGCTGACAAACTAGGTGGGCAACAGTCTAGGACTTTGCTTTTTCGGTTATCTCTTTACTCCTGAAATCACTTATCTCCTCTCTACTGGCTCCTTCCTAGAAACATACTAACATGCTGTAGTATATTCTCTGTCTTAAAAAAACAAAAATAATCTTTTTACCTGTATCTCCTCCCTCCAGCTAACACTCCATTTCTGCATCTCTTCACAGCCAAATTTAGCACTTCCATTTGGTGCCTCTGTTTTCTCCTCTCTCATTCTTTACTTTTATTATTTTAAAAATTGCCAGGCTGGGTGTGGTGGCTCATGACTACAATCCCAGCACTTTGGGAGGACAAGGCAGGAAGATCACTTGAGGCCAGGAGTTTGAGATGAGCCTGGGCAACATAGTGAGACCCTATCTCTACTAAAAACTTCTTTTTCTTTTTTTTTTTTCCTGGAGATGGAGTCTCGCTTTGTCACCAGGCTGTAGTGCAATGGTGCAATCCCAGCTCACTACAACCTCTGCATCCTGGGTTCAAGTGATTCTCCTGCCTCAGCTTCCCAAGTAGCTCAGACTATACGTGTGTGCCACCATGCCTTGGCTAATTTTTTTACTTTTTACAGAGACAGGAAACTGCTCCTGGGCTCAAAACAATCTGCTTGCCTCAGCATCCCAAGATGTTGGGATTATAGGCAAAAGCCACCGTGCCCAGCCTATAGTTTCTTCTTTTACACTAAAAAATATACTGGGTGGGGGGGGCATGGTGTGTCATGCCTATAATCCCAGCACTTTGAGAGGCCAAGGTGGGAGGATTGCTTGAGCTCAGGAGTTCAAGACCAGCCTGGCAACATGGTGAGATCTTGTCTCTACTAAAATTTTTAAAAACTGGCCAGGTAAGGTGGTGCATGCCTGTAGTCCCAGCTATTTGAGGGTGCTGAAGCAAGAGGACTGCTTAAGCCCATGAGGTCAAGGCTGCAGTGAGCCCTGAATGTGCCACTGCACTCCAGCCTGGGTGACAAGAGTGAGATCTTGCTTCAAAACAACAACAACGACAACAACAAAACAAAACAAAACCAAAACCATCACACACGCGCACCGTGATCCTTTAAACTAATTTAATTACCTATAGATGTTGATCTCCAGGTTAAAAGACTGTGTTGTAAGCGTAAGAACAACTTGGATTTTACCAGATACTGTCAAGTTGCTCTCCAAAGTAATGACCAACTTACACCCTTAGTAGTTTAGTATGAGAACTGCCATTGCTTCATGATCTCAACTATTCTTGGCACTGTCAAGCTGATTAAAAATTTTTTGCCAATTTAATGGGTATTAAATGACAACTCACTGTGAATTTAAGAATTACGTTTTTCTTATGGATGTGAAGTTCTTTATACATTTTGAAAATAATCCCTTTGTTGATTATATGTCTCTTTACTTTGTTAATATCTTTTGCTATACAAAAATATTCAATTTCAGTATAGTCAAACTGATTAGTTTTCTACTATGGTTTGGACATTTAAAGAAATCCATGCTCACTCCCAAATCATTAAGATATTCTCTGTATTTTCTTTTCTTTCCTTTTTTTTTTTTTTTTGAGACAGACTTTTATTCTTGCCACCCAGGCTGGAGTGCAATGGTGTGATCTTGGCTCACAGCAACCTCTGCCTCCCAGGTTCAAACGATTCTCCTGCCTCAGGTTCGAACCTGCCTCCCAGGTTCGAATGATTCTCCTGGGATTACAGGCATGTGCCATCACACCCGGCTAATTCTGTATTTTTAGTAGAGATGGAGTTTCTCCATGTTGGTCAGGCTGGTCTTGAACTCCCAACCTCAGGTGATCTGCCTGCCTTGGCCTCTCAAAGTGCTGGAATTATAGGTGTGGGCCACTGCGCACAGCCAAGATATTCTCTGCATTTTCTATTAAAGATTTAGATACTTACTCAACTGGAACTGATTTTTGTGTGAGAGAAAGACCAAAACAACCCCCCCAAAAATGATAAATAGTTTTATATGATTTTCACTTAAACTGACTGGCCAAAAAATCTTTATAAACAGCAAATAGATGAATCTTCAGTATACCAGCCTAGAACAGATCTAATCTAGCTCCTTCCTACCTTAGAGCCACTCGATACTTCTGCCCCAATTTTTCAATTTCAGCCATTACACAATCAGTTATACAAGGGATACCTGCCAGGGAAAAAAATTCACATTAGGAACAGAACTTGTGAATTCTCTCTGAATTATATCCCTGCTCAGAGTTTTAAAAAGATCCAGGACACTTCTGCAATGACAGCAGAATTAACACACTGAAATGTACAATAAGAACTAGAGTAGAAGAAAACCCTGTTCATAAAGAAACTAAGACTGTCCCAACCCCAAACTGCAGATTCCAAAAGGTATTTGTTATAAACACATCTGGGGAAAAAAAATCTAAGCTGAACGTTGTCATTATTTTTATATTAATATAAGTTCCTGATGGAAAAAAAGTATTTATTTATTTTTATTTTGAGACAGAGTCTTGCTCTGTTGCCCAGTCTGGAGTGCAGTGGCACAATCTCAGCTCACTGTAGCCTCGACCTCCTGGGTTCTCTCAGTCTCCTGAGTAGCTAGGAGCACAGGCACATACCACTATGTCCAGATAATTTAAAAAAAACATTTTTTTTTTGGTAGAGATGGGGCTTTGCTATGTTGCTCAGGCTGTCTTGAACTCCCGGGCTCAATCAATCCTCCTGTCTTAGCCTCCCAAAGTGCTGGGATTACAGGTGTGAGCCACGGTGTCTGGCTTAGATGGAATAAAATTTAAATGTGAATGAAAAGAAACTATGAAATTAACCAGATAATGTAAATCTGATCACATAAAAATTTTGAAAGCTTCTGTTTAACAACTATCAAACAGAAAGCCATATAAGTTAAAAAAAAAATGATCAGTGTCCCTATTTTACAGATGAGGAATCTGAGACACAAAGAAGTTAATCAAGTAGAGAGCAAATGGCGAAGCCAAGATTTGAAACAGGTCTATTGGGCCAAAGACTGGAAAGAGTCGCACCTAGAAGAGTGGCAAAGATAAACGGATGAAAATACCCAATATTAGCTGGGTGCAGTGGCTCATGCCTATAATCCCAGCACTTTCGGAGGCCAAGACAGGCAGATCACTTGAGGTCAGGAGTTTGAGACCAGTTGGCCAACATGGTAAAAAAAACCCTGTCTCTACTAAAAATACAAAAAAATTAGCTGGGCTTGGTGGTGTATGCCTGTAGTCCCAGCTACTTGGGAGGCTGAGGCAGGAGAATCACTTGAATACCAGAGGCAGAGATTGCAGTGGGCCGGGATCGTGCCACTGTACTCCAGCCTGGGAAACAGTGAAACTCCATCTTAAAAAAAAAAAAAAGAAAAAGAAAAAAAAAATTTAGCTGGAAACAGTGAAACTCCATCTTAAAAAAAAAAAAAAAAAGAAAAAAAAAATTTAGCTGGGTGTGGTGGTGTATGCTATGGGGATGCTAAAGCATGAGAACTACTTGAATCCAGGAGGCAGAGGCTGCAGTGAGCCGAGATCACACCATTGCACTCTAGTCTGGGCAATAGAGGAAGATACTGTCTCAAAAAATCAAAAAAAAAAAAAAAAAAGTCCAAATTTGGACAACATGGTTGACACTTTGTTTCTACAAAACATAAATAAATAGAATAGCCAGGAATGATGGCTCTTTCCAGTACTCTCAGCTACTTGGAAGGCTGAGGCTGGAGAATCACTTGAGACTTGGAGGTTGAGGCTGCTGTGAGCTGTTGGTTCAGGCCACGGCATTCCAGCATGGATGACAGAGCAAGACCCTACCTCAAAAATAAACGAATAAGGCCCATTTATGTATACATACAACGGAAAAATGTTGCAGATACACAGTTCAATGTAAAAAACAAGCAGAAATGATTAAAATGTGATCTATTCATACAGTGGAATATTGAGTAATAAAAAGAAATGAAGTACTGATAAAAGCTGTATTATGAATGATTCTTAAAAACATTATTCTAAACGAAAGAGGACAAAATATTATAAGGTTCTATTTTTATGAAATGTCCAGAATAGGGAAATGTATAGAAACCGAAAGTAGATTAGCGGTTGCCTAGAAATAGAGAGAATGGTGAGGGTTGCAGGGTGATGGCTAAGGGACTCTAGGTTTCTTCTTGGGATAATGAAAGTTCTAAAATTGACTATGGTGATGGATGATGCACAACTTTGTGAATACACCAGAAGTCACTGAACTGTACACTTTAAAGGGATGAACTTATAGTTGTAAAGGGAGTCAATTATATTTCAATCTATTTTAAAAAGAAGAAAACTAATGTATGATTCATTTTCCTTCTTTTTTTTTTTTTTTTTTTTTTTTTTTGAGACAGAGAGACAGAGTTTCGCTCTTGCTGCCCAGGCTGGAGTGCAATGGTGTGACCTCAGCTCACTGCAACCTCCGCCTCCCAGGTTCAAGCAATTTTCCTGCATCAGCCTCCTGAGTAGCTGAAATTACAGGGGTCTGCCACCACACCAGGCTAATTTTTTGTGTGTATTTTTAGTAGAGACAGAGTTTTGCCATGCTGGCCAGGCTGGTCTTGAACTCTGGACCTTGGGTAATCTGCCTGCCTTGGCCTCCCAAAGTGCTGGGATTATAGGCCATTTTCATTAATAAATAAAAGTAACCCTCAATTTTGCACAGATTATTTATGAATTGTTTTTTGTTTTTTTCGATTATTCATGAATTTTTATAATTGCCCCTTTAAGGAAACGCATTATAAGCAAATTTCCTTTATTACCCCCTTTTTGAGATAGATTCTTGTTCTGTTGCCCAGGCTGGAGTGCAGTGACATATACATGGCTCAGGGCAGCCTCGAACCTCAGGCTCAAGTGATCCTTCCACCTCAGCCTCCCAAGCAACTGGGACCACAGACATGCTCCACCATACCCAGCTAATTTTTGTGGTTTCTTTTGGCAGAGACAGGGTTTTGCCATGTTGTCTAGGCTGGTCTTAAACTCCTGGGCTCAAGTGATCCACCTACCTAGGACTCCCAAAGTGCTGGGATTATAGGCATGAGCCATCATGCCTAGTCTGATTAAAAAAAAAAAAAATTTTTGGCTGGGTGCGGTGGCTCATGCCTGTAATCCCAGCATTTTGGGAGGCCAAGGCGGGCAGATCACCTGAGTTCGGGAGTTTAATATGAGCCTGACCAACATGGAGAAACCCCATCTCTAAAAAAAATAAAAAAAAAAATTAGCCGGCGTGGTGGTGCATGCCTGTAATCCCAGCTACTCAGGAAGCTGAGGCAGGAAAATTGTTTAAACACAGCAGGCAGAGGTTGGGGGGTAAGCTGAGATTGCGCCATTGTGCTCCTGCCTGGGCAACAAGAGTGAAACTCTGTCTCCAAAATAAAAAATAAATAAAATAAAATAAATAAATAATTTTTGTAGAGATGCAGTCTCACCATGTTGGCCAGGCTGGTTTTGAAGTCCTCCCACCTTGGCCTGCCAAACTGGGACTACAGGTGTGAAGCCATCTCGCCCAGCCCAATTTTCTTTTCTTTTTCTTTTTTTTTTTTTTAAAGACAGGGTCTCATTCTGTTGCCTGGGCTGGAGTGTAGTGGCATCATCACAACTCACTGTAGCCTCAGCCTCCCAAGCTCAAGTGATCCTCCCACCTCAGCATCCTGAGTAGCTAGGACCACAGGTACAAAAAAAACTATGCCTAGGCAATGTTTTTTTTTTTTTGAGACAGAGTCTCGCTCTGTCACCCAGGCTGGAGTGCAGTGGGGTAATCTCGGGACACTGCAGCCTCTACCTTCCAGTTTCCAGTGATTCTCCTGCCTCAGCCTCTTGAGTAGCTAGATTACACGCATGCACCACTACAACTGGCTAATTTTTGTATTTTTAGTGGAGATGGGGTTTCACCATGTTGGCCAGGCTGGTCTCGAACTCCTGACCTCAGGTGATCTGCCCACCTTGGGCCCAAAGTGCTAAGATTATAAGAATGAGCCACCATGCCCAGACCCCTGGCTAATTTTTAAATTTTGTGTGGACATGGGGTCTCGCTATATTGCCCCAGCTCCAACTTTCATTTTTTATGCTAGAATTTTTTAGAAGTATATTAATATTGGCAGGGTGCAGTGGCTCATGCCTATAATCACAGCACTTTGGGAGGCCGAGGTGAGAAGACTGCTTGAGGTCAGGAGTTCGAGACCAGTCTGGCCAACACAGAGAAACCCCATCACTACTTTATACAAAAATTAGCTGGGCGTGGTGGCATGCACCTATAATCCCAGCTACTTGGGAGGCTGAGGCAAGAGAATTGCTTGAACCCGGGAGGCAGAGGTTGCAATGAGCAGAGATTGTGCCACTGTACTCCAGCCTCAGCCACAAGTGAAACTCCATCTCAAAATAAATAAATAAATAAGAAGTATATTAATATTTTTGAAAGCAGAAAAAGTTAAGAAATTTCAACAAAAAATACAATGTCCAAAAGAAAAAGCACTTGTAAAACAGAGGGTACTAAGTTAGTGAGATCAGACTGTCACTGAATCAGAGGGCAATGTATTCTTTTTTATTTTAATACAGAGATAACGTGAGACAAGGCAATGTGTTCTTTAAGAGGAGAAATTTCAGAGCCATGTAGCAGTGAAGTGAGCAAAGGCTTGCAACTGAAGTAGGGAAGTAGGCTCAGGAAGACCACCACAAGGAAAGGGAAAGTAACAGCCTCAGGATTCATAGGCAGAAGAGAAAGCCAATGGGAAGTAAACTATCCTTCCTTGTTGGACTATAAAGTGGAAACAGAAGAGACCAGGAACTATGAAAAGGTTAAATAAGGCTTTTCAAGGTAAGAGGAAGATAAAGGCCTTTCTTTAAGTATAAAGGCAAGCAAGGCCAGGCATGGTGGCTCATTCCTGTAATCCCAGCACTTTGGGAGGCCAAACTGCTTGAGCCTAGGAGTTTGAGACCAGCCTGGGCAACATGGTGAGACTCCGTCTCTACAAAAATTAAAAAAAAAAAAAAATTAGTCAGGTGTGGTGGCATGTGCCTGTGGCCCCAGCTACTCAGGCGACTAAGGCAGGAGGATTACGTGAGGCTGGGATGTTGAGGCTGCAGTGAGCTTTGATCATGCCACTGCACTCCAGCCTGGGCAACAGCCAAAGCTGTGCATCAACCAATCAATAAATAAAGTAGAAAGGCAAGTAAAGCAACAAATAATTAAATAAGCAGAGCTTAAAACAGTAAAAGGTACTGAATTTGTACTTGATATTTTTCAACCTTTGCTTTAAGGTATTATGTTACATAAAATATATAGTTAAAGTGGTATTTTTCTTATCAAGCTTATTTTTAGAAAAGGCACAGTGAGAGTAAATTGCTGTATACATTGCAGCTGTATTTTAAAGTAATATATCTAGGCTGAGTGCAGTGGCTCATGCCTATGGGAGGCCGAGGTGAATGAATTACCTGAGTTTAGGAGTTTTGAGACCAGTCTGACCAATATGATGAAGCCCCGTTTCTACTAAAAATACAAAAATTAGCTGGGCGTGGTGGCATGCACCTGTAGTATCAGCTATTCAGGAGGCTGAGGCAGAAGAATTGCTTGAACCTTGGGAGGCTGAGGTTGCAGTAAGCCCAGATCACACTACTGCACTCCACCCTAGGTGACAGAGTGAGACTCTGTCTCGAAAATAAAGTATACATATCTAAAGAAAGCCTAACCATAGGACTAAAGCTGTCCTGACTGAAGCTCTAACAGTCACCATCTAGATATTACTGGTGGAGGTACAGAGTCAAGGAAGCAATTCACCTCCCAAGGGTCATGCTTTGACCCTCCATCTGTTTCACTGATAAATAGGTCACGGAGTTCCTGGAGAAGCAGCCACACACTTAGAAATACCAATGAGAAATACAAAGAGACTACCAAGTTTAGTGTCTTCCCCCATATGGGGTCACCCAAGCCTCATTCTTAGAGGCCTGGTAGCAACTTTAGATTACTATTTCTAAAGTATTTACTTTAAAAGCATGGGCATATAGCTTTAAAAAGTAATACAGAAAGTCTACATGAAAAAATAACTGTCCCCTGACCATTCCCACCCCCATCAATTTTCATCTGTAGAGAAGACTATTTTATTCCATTAGCTCCATTTTTTTCTCATCTAGTGGCCACCTTCACATCTTAATAAACATATACAGCTAATACATATATGCAGTCATTCTTAATTTTAGACATCTAAAGAAATCTGCTTTTTTTTTTTTGAGATGGAGTTTCGCTCGTTACCCCGGCTGGAGTACAATGGCGTGATCTCGGCTCACCACAACCTCCGCCTCCTGGGATCAGGCAATTCTCCTGCCTTAGCCTCCTGAGTAGCTGGGGTTGCAGGCATGTGCCACCATGCCCAGCTAATTTCTTGTATTTGTATTTTTAGTAGAGACAGGGTTTCACCATGTTGACTAGGATGGTCTCGATCTCTTGACCTCGTGATCCACCCACCTCGGCCTCCCAAAATGCTGGGATTACAGGTGTGAGCCACCACGCCCGGCCCAAAAAATCTGCTTTCTTACCTCCTTCACATATCCCTTACCCCCATCTTCTCATCTTGCTCATTTTAATATATTGGTAAACATTTACATTACTATCACTCACTCTGTAACTGTTGTTTATTATATTGCAGCCTTTAAAAATTAAAAAGGGAGGTGTAAATTTTTCCCTTTGATTCCAGTAATTTATCCTCTATGGCAAAGTTTAAGTCTAATTTTCATTTGTACCTCTAACAGAGTTACTGAAAAATATATAAATATAAACCTGCTGCAAATGGGACAGATCTTACTATGAGAGGCCTCATACAAGGCTTCAATTTTCTTTTTCCTATTTAATGGTAGTGAAGGAAGATCATTTAAAGAAGGGGATATACAAATACACAAGGAAAATCTATTATGGTAAATTACGTACCTAGATGTAAATAAACTACCTCAGACCCTCTGCAGTGCAAATAAATACCAAACTGAATCAAGTTAGGAATCAACCACCATCTATCTAACTTTTAGGACTGTGATCATAAATGGCGGAATATCTTATTTAGTGTTTCAACATTAGGGCAGAAGGGAGAACATATCCTTGTTAACTTAAAGGAATATACATACTGAAAAACATTTTTCATTTATCCAGAATTTTAAAATTCAGAATTCCCAAACAGAACATTCCCCTATGCTCAAAATTGATGTCCATAATGATACTCGAAGCATTCTAAGTGTATTCAGAATTGTGAAAGTTTAATTTTTTCCAGTTAAGTTTGCATTATACTTCAGTTTATTAAACATGGTGATTGCTATGGTGACCACTGTAAAGTAAATGGCCAGCAATTCAGCTAACAAGAACCCCATCTCCCAATTTTCATGTATTTGTATAAATATGATTATTCTGTACCAGTGTCACAGAAACATAAAAGTATGATACTCACACTTGGCATACAGACAGTCCATCATTGACTGCACTAAGTCCAGTTTGGCTTTTATGGAAAAGTTGATAAAGTTGGTATCAACAAGGATGTGGTAAGGTGGGCCCAACTGTGTATTATATTGGAAAAATAAGCAGGAAGGATGTTGAGGACTGAAGAAAAAAGAAAACAAGAACAAAGTAAAATTCACATTGATACCCTGGCATTAACAAAAGCAAAAAAGAAGTCTCAGCTTGGGACTGTTCACTATAAACTCATTTGCCATGACTAGAATGATACTACAATGTTTGTCATTCTTACAGGATTCTAAAATTGTTGTTGTGGAATGCGATAGAGAATGATTTGTCTAGTGTTAGGATTATATACTATAGTAGGACCTGTATACCTATGTCACATCTAGCCCAAGTTGTCTGGTTTGAATATGATAGTGATTCCAAATGCTAGGATACATGGACCAGTAACTACCTGTGATGATATATCCATTACTAATCCAGGGCAAAATTAGAAAAATAAGGAAAATGTGGTAAAGTTTTCATAAAGTTAAATGTATTTACTTAAAAGGAATGATCTTTATTCTGACAATATATTTTAAATATTTTTTGGTGACACAGTCTCTCTTTTATGAAATGCTCTTGTTTTAAACAATGGCAATCATGACTCAAAAGATCCCTGGCAAAGAAAAAGTTAATAATCCTAGATTATATTTCCAGGATTTCAGGGAAACTTTACTGCTCCATGAAATCCCAAAACCTTCAAATCACTGGAATTGATATATGCTCATCGATATCACTTTAATTTACATAGCCGTGCTAGACTTAATAACAAATGACTGAGCAAACCAGCTCAGGGAAAGCCTAGATTTCTTTTTTTTTTTTTTTTTTTTTTTGGAGACAGATTCTTGCTCTGTCACCAGGCTGGAGTGTGGTGGCATGATCTTGGCTCACTGCAATCTCCACCTCCGGGGTTCAAGAGATTCCCCTGCCTCAGCCTCCTGAGTAGCTGGGACCACAGGCGCGCACCACCACACCTGGTTAATTTTTTCTATTTTTAGTGGAGACTATATTTAGTGGAGACTAAAAATAGAAAAAATTAGCCAGGCCAGGGGTTTCCCCACATTGGCCAGGATGGTCTCAATTTCCTGACCTAGTGATCTACCTGCCTCGGCCTCCCAAAGTGTTGGGATTACAGGCATGAGGCACTATGCCCAGCCAAAAGCCTGGATTTCTAAAAGGTCTATGGTTTTAAAGGAAAACTTCAAATGTTTGATTACTCACATTTCTCTTTCCTTTAACGCGCTGGGATCCTTCTTTTCTTTCTTTTTAGGTTTTAATCTATCCTTTTCTTTACTAGAAAAAAAAAGTAAATTAAATCCAAGGGAGAAGAAAAACCACAGCAGTTAAAATCTTGAAAATCTAAAGTTCCATTTTTTTTTTTTGGTCTACATTAGAAATTCTACTTTGTGATCTCATGTTAATATCAGCATACGCTTTCTGAGCAAATAACTAGTGTAAAGTACAGTACCTCGAAGTGTCAGAATTAATCAGTAATGCCAATAAAGCATAAAAACTGTTAATGAGCAAGTGAAAGCTGATTATACTATATTTCTTTCTTAGTCAGAATCTCTCATATCAAGGATCAAAATCTACTTCCAAGCAGTGGGTAAATAGGGTGACAGTTATCTTCTGAAGATCCAGATGCTTTAACAGTAGGGGGAAAATATTACCCCATATGCTTCTTATAAAGGGCTAAAATGTAAAAACACATATATAGAACTTACCCCTTAAGTAGAAAGAAAATATTATTAATGGGTGTCATTCCTAAAAATTACACAATACATCCATACTAAAGGCTGAGAAGAATTAATTCTGAAGGCTTTAATGACCATTCTCTTGTTCTGAGACTCTTTTTTTTCCCCTTCTGTCTCCCAGGAGTACAGTGGCACAATGGCTCCCTGCAACCTCTGCCTCCTAGGTTCAAGTGATTCTCCTGCCTCAGCCTCCTGAGTAGCTGAGATTACAGGCACCCACTACCACACCTGCGTAATTTTTGTTTTTTTTAGTGGAGAAGGGTTTCACCACGTTGGCCAGGCTGCTGTCGAACTGCTGACCTCAGGTGATCCACCCATCTCAGCCTCCCAAAGTGCTGGGATTACAGGCATTAGCCACTGTGCTTGGCTTTCTGAGACTCTTAAAACTCAACAAAGATCAGTCTTTATTTAATAGCTATGCTTATTCTACACTTAAGCAGGGACACTGCTTTGATCCTCTCCACTTTCTTCCATAGTGGTTTGGATTCTTGTATTAGTAAGACTTATAAAATGGAGACATCTTGGAGTTTTCCCATTTTCTCTGACAAAAATATTTGAGTACCAGACACTGGAGACAAAAGACAAATGTGGTCTCTACCCTTCCCATCTTTCAACAACAAGAAACACTCCCCCAACCCCACCCCAGAGGAATGTAGTAGTGTAATGGTAAGAACATAAAGAGAATTATAGGGACTTCACAGAACTGACATAAGGTTTAAATGGGATACGGTAGACAAAGCATATAATGGCGGAAAAAGTGAGCATTTAAGAAAATGTTTAATTCTTATCGCTTTTCCCAGTGTAATTGCTCAGCAGCTAAATTACTATTAAACACTGGCTATCTCATGCTATATAAATCTAATATACAATCATATTAGAAGTAAAAAACAAAATAATAACAAAAATTTTTACTACTTATCCTGTCTATAGACTCTTATTAGAATATCCCTGAGGAGTTGATTCCAGACACTCACAGCCTCTGATCTCTGAGACTAAGCATTCGCTTCATGGTCGCATACTTCCTTGTTTTCTTTTGCTTCCCCTTGAAATAGAAATTTTGGAATTAAAAAAGTTGCAAACATATGGCATCTTTTAAATCTCTTCTCTTGTCCATTCCCTTCCCTATTTGCCTCAAATAACCAGACCCTCTTCCCCAGTCGGTAAAGCAAAACAGACACCGCTCAGAGAAGTTTAAGAGCTAAAACCAGAGGGCCGGGGGCAGTGGCTCACGCCTGTAATCCCAACACTTTGGGAGGCCGAGGCGGGTGGATCACGAGGTCAAGAGATCGAGACCATCCTGGTCAACATGGTGAAACTCCGTCTCTACTAAAAATACAAAAAATTAGCTGGGCATGGTGGCGCGTGCCTGTAATCCCAGCTACTCAGGAGGCTGAGGCAGGAGAATTGCCTGAACCCAGGAGGCGGAGGTTGCGATGAGCCGAGATCGCACCATTGCACTCCAGCATGGGTAACAAGAGAGAAACTCCGTCTCAAAAAAAAAAAAAAGCTAAAACCAGAATGAAAATACGCAAGGACAACATGGAGGAAATTTGGCCATGGTCTGACCCCCTCCTTCTCTATCCAAAAAGTGGCCTGATAACATCCCTTCTCGGACCCTCTTCTCTCACCATTGTCACGCCACACTTCTGTTTCTTCCGTAATCACCAACGGCGCAATATTTTTACGTCATTCACATACTGCTTCCGGCAAAGGATAACCCGGAAGCGGAAGCTTCTTGGGGAAACGGAAAACCCCCGAGCCGGTTGCCAGGCCGGGTAGAGACCAACTTTGGGGTCTCTCAGTTGGAGGGTGGAGAGCCTGTCTTCTGCTGAGTGCAGCCGCCGCCTCCTAGGACAGCAGAGCTGGAACTTCGTCGCGCTGCAACCCCCGGCTCGGATAACGTTTCTCTCCAGCCCTAACCAGAGCCCAGAAGACCTGCATGCACCAGAGTTCCAGAGAGAGAGAAGGAGGACAAGGGTAGGAGGGTCAGAATCCTGGTTTGCCCAGTAGTTTGGGGGAACACATTCTCCTCACCCTTCAGCGTTGGGGCATCTAGTCTCTTCGGTCCAACCCTGAGGCTGTGGTTCCTACTTGGTTTTCCTAGCCGATATGGTGCTTTGTGCACCTAGGTGGATGATTCTCCCCGAGTGTATACCGTGTATTCATCTCGGTGAACAGAGAAATGAAGCAGTGTTTGAGGGCCCTCTTTAGACTGTCGCTAGAGAATTGGGGCATAAGATTGCATATGTTACTACTTACCCAAGCCAGGAAAGTGGTGAGAAACAATTGACATTTATTGTGAAGCCTTGGTGTGTCATCCTTAAGGTAAAAGGGAGAATTTGTGAGAACAAGGAATGAAAGGTAGCTTTTTTGAGTAAATGCTGTGTATTCCAGTGGTTCTTAACCTTTTGGAGATAACTTATTTATTGGAAGTTTGTGGAAAGCCAGGAACAGTTATTTAAAAAGTGGGCACACATACAGTTTGTAATATACTTTATGAGATTGGTCGACTCTCAAGCCCATCCGTGGACCCTCTGGATGTCTGTAAACTTTAGAGTAAAACCCTCATCCTGTATACTGTACTTGGTACTTTATATTACCTTCTTAATAACGTAAACTCTCTCATATTACATATGGGGAAACTGAGCCTCAGACTTTGTTCAGGGGTCTGTTTGAGTCTGTTGATTCTAAAGTCTGTAGGTTTATTTCTTTTTCTTTTCTTTCTTTTTTTTTACACTGTGTCTTCCATTCGCCAGCTGCTGAGCAAGAGCAAGCTGGGAACGGAATGGGTACCTCTGTCATACTTTTCTTATTGCATGATGCTATCCTAGTGTTGGAAGTCAAGAATGTTATCAGGCTTAGAAAAACAGATGACCTTTATATAATCCTTATAATGAAACACAGTGTATTGGTTAACACGAACTTTGGAGTCTGACTGATGGGGTTAAAATCCCTGCTCATAACTCGCCATTACATTGGGCGGGTTAATCTATCTGTGTCTCAGTTGCATTATCTGTAAAATGGAGATAATCATAATAGCATTGTTTTACAGGATTTATATTATTTATTATAGTTAAAATGTGAAGTCTCTAGAAGAGTGTAAACCGGACTACTCACAGAGTTTTCTATTGTTATCATTGCGTGTCTTGCAACTTGAGGCTGCGTGGCAGCATTGGAATTTTATGCCAATTTTATTTTACTTTTGAGATGGAGTCTTGCTCTGCTGCCCAGGTTGGAGTGCAGTGGTGCAATCTTGGCTCACAGCAGCTTCTGCCTCCCGGCTTCAAGCAATTCTCCTGCCTCAGTGTCCCAAGTAGCTGGGACTGCAGGGGTGTGCCATCACACCCAGCTAATTTTTGGATTTTTAGTAAGAGATTGGGGTTTCTACTAAACCCCATGTTAGCCAGGCTGGTTTCAAACTCCTGACCTCAGATGATCCTCCTGCCTCGGCCTCCCAAAGTGCTGGGATTACAGATGTGACCCACTGTGCCCCACTCCAATTTTATTTTAACATAGTTGCACTGGAACTTGAATGTGTTCATAAATCTCAAAAACCTTATTAAGTTTTCAGGTCCTGGGACACTCAATCACAGGGTGATTTCTTCTGTTGATTTGGGTGTAAACTGTTTTTCTGCTTCTCCTTTCTCTTTTAGGCACACATTCATTTATATGTATGCTTGATAGTTTACATATTTGCGGGCTCTGAATTTTTGATGCTGAAGTAGTTCTCTTATTGAAGTAGCTACAGATACTGTATGTGCCTTCTGCCTTACCCCATTTGTGGTTGCTAGAGTTCCTAATCTTTCTGGAGCAGCTTGTCTCTGTCAAGCTGTCAATCATGTGTAGAGCTAATAGCCCCCAGTTTTTTTTTTTTTGATGTATCTTGGTGATTAGACAATAAGCTTTTCATTGTCTAAAACCTAAAATAACATGGCCAGTTATTTTTCTTAAACATTTGACTGATTAGTATTATATATAGGTTTAGAGGGAAAATTGCATATCATTAAGTAGTAATTTGCATTTAAATTTAGGCACTGACAGAAAAGCACTCTCCTGGTAATGTGTACTTTGAATTTTGGAATCCATGAACAGTAACAACTTTAAAAAAAGACCATTCATAATTTATATTGTAACCTCTATTGAGAGTGTTCTGATTTCCTTGACTGTTAGTACCAACTAGGGAGCTAAATTAGTGTAGGAACACCATGGGGGATATGAACATACATAGAAAAATTTGTTTTTGTTGCATTGTAATTTTATTGTAATCTGAGGTTCTTATAGCCTGAAATGAAAGTGGTCAGATACTCTGTAGCATTCTTTGATGGGGATGGGAAGTGGGGGCTGGGAAGCCGGGAGGTGGTGTTGATTTGTGATGGATGGGAGCAGAAAGTAATTGCTTTTGGGCACATACTTGTGAGGAAAAGAATGATTTTAGTCCTTCTCAGCAGTCAAGAGGGTTGTTTTGCATTTTTCTGCCGTCTCGAAGGGAAAAAAATCGCCCAAGGCATTGGACACACAGTTTGAACACATAATTGGGCTTGGACTTCATTCCATTCACTAATTGGTCTAACTTACTAAGTAAGTTGGTAACAAATTTCTTTGTAGAATTATTCTGATAATGAAAGGCTCCTTAAAGAATATCTTGTATTTCAATGTTAGAAAGTTGTAAGTAGTTCCCTTTTTTGTCCATTTTCAAGTTGTAGTTTTTACATTTATTTTTCTGACTTACTTGATCTGACTTTTTTCCCCCCAACAAACATTAGTTACTGTTAATTATTTTTCAGTGAACTTGCCTGCCTCCTAAATGTGGTAGCATGGCATACAGCATGTTCTGCTTCTGAGGTCTCGATATTGAATTGGTTTGTAAGAATACCTCAGAGATAGATTACTGCCACATGCCCATTCATTCAGAAAGCATTTATTGAGAGCCCATTCTTTCCTGGATAATGTGACCACATTCCTGTATTAGAGAAAGACTTGTGAACAGATAAATTATGGTAAGTGGTTGAATAGAGGTGTGGGAGTTGAAATATTTTAGAGGAATTACTCTACCTGTTCATCTTTCTGGAAGTGGTCCAGGTGAGAGTACTGTTGTGTAATATTTAATACTATCAACATATAAGTACCATGTAACAGATCAGATTTTATGACCTTAATGGACTCTAGAGTATCATTTTAACTTTTATTTATTATTTATTAGGTCTTGCTACATTGCCCGGGCTGGTCTTGAACTCCTGGCCTCAAGCCATCCTCCCACCTCAGCTTCCTGAGTAGCTAGGGCAAGAGGTATGAGCCACTGTGCCTGACCATTTTACTTTTTAAATGACTTTAGTTCTTAACTAGTTTGGGTTTAAATTTCAGTTATTTATTAGTATTATTATTTTTGGTTTCTTTTTATTTTAAGGGTTCTGAATGCTTAGCCTTCACTAATGTTCTTTCATATAGCAGTTAAACTTCTGAGGTTGTTTAACCTTATTGCAGTTTGTGTATATGTATGTGTGTATACACACATGCATGCCTGGGCCCGTGTCATGGTGTTACAGCACCATAATGATGTTATACTGGTGGCACTTTTGAAGACTGTTCTACGGGATAGGGTTTATAGAGAATGATGGGTATGCATTTAGTTATTAGAAACTAAATAGTTATGGTAGATGCATGTTTCCTCATTTAGTCTCAATTGATCAGTTCCATATGATTTTATGACTTTTTGTTACCTTGAATAGTTGAGCAATTTGCATCATGTTTTTCAGAGCAAGGGCATTTATTTCAGTGCAGCTTGTTACTGTTGAGATGCTAATAGTTACCATGGCTGTTAATTGATTTTCTATGTATTGTACTTTTTGGCCAGAGATTAAATAAAGGTAATCTATTAATATATAACATGTTTTATGTAGTGTCCCCTTACTTTTATCCAGAGATCCAGAGCATGTTATTTTAACCCCTGTCTTTTCCTCTTTGGGAAGTTCAGATTCAAGGTACCCTCTTGTATATATGGTAAAGCTATTAGGAACAGAAAACAGTTAAAACCTCCCAAGTGTGATGTAGTTTTCATGTCTTGGTAGAGAAGAAACCCCAGATGAGCTGTGCAAACAGTTCATATTTAGGGGTTAAAAAATATTTTTAAAAAGTTTCAGGCCAGTGTTACCTGAATCAGGGCAATGATTAGGGAGACATGATTAGAATCCTAAGGGGGAGTGCGAATGTAAAGTAGAACACCATATGTAATTAAATTTTTTTGATTATGGAAGAATTTTAAATTTATAGAAAAGTTGCAAAGATAGTACAGAGTATTCCTGTATACATTTCAACCAGCTTCTAATGTTAAACATTTTGCATAACCATGGCACATGCTATCACATATAAGAAATTAACATTGGTACAATATTGTGACTAAACTCTAGACTTTATTTGGATTTCACAAGTTTCTCCACTATTTTCCTTTTTCTGTCCAAAACTGAATCCAGAGTACCACATTTTTTTTTTTTTTAAACGAAGTTTTGCTCTTGTTGCCTAGGCTGGAGTGCAGTGGCACCATTTTGGCTCACTGCCACTTCCGCCTCCTGGTTTCAAATGATTCTCCTGCCTCAGCTTCCCAAGATTACAGGCACCTGCCCCCACACTCAGCTAATTTTTGTATTTTTAGTAGAGATGGGGTTTCACCATGTCGGACAGGCTGGTCTTGAACTTCTGACCTCAGGTCATCCACCCGCC